ACCCTGTAGGTTTTACTGTTTTACTGTCATCATTTTACCCCAGTCACTGAGAGGTAAAGCCTGATAAGACTTATAGAGGCACAGACCCTGAAAAAATCGGGACCCAGTCCTCAGGTAATTGAATTGCAAAAACACAATCCTAAGTGGTAAGATAAGGAGGAAACAAATATCTTTCCAACAGAGAAATGGTGCATCTGCTTTGCAGTGCTTGAGCATGCACGTAGTCCATCTCGTGGGCCCTGCGGCCACTGGGACCTCAGTCGATCTGCCTCGAGCGGTCGCACAGCTCCCAGCCTCCAGGCGCGCCGCAAGAGGACGGTCAGGCGCGAAGCCCCGGAGCCACCCAGGGACAGCGGCGGGTACTCTACCAGCGGAAGCTGGGAGCTGCCGGGCAGCGTTCCATTCAGAACCCATTCCTTTTCTCTTCAGTGGAGGTGAAATGATCCTTTCCAGGTAACAGCCGAGAATAGGGGACCGCGGGACATCTCCGCCTCTTCCTTGGCTCAGGGCCTTCGATGTAAGGCGTTAGAGGACAATCTTTGGTGACTGGATTTCTGTTCTTCCCCTAGAGATACCTCGTTCTTTGGAGGCCACTTGGGCAATTGGGTGAGTAGTTTTAAATGTCTCCCTAGGGATGCCAAATAAGAAAACGACCAACGTCGGTGTGACTCCCTCTCCTTCAGCACAGACAATCCATCAGACTGGAATATTATTAGTCTATGTATGTGGAAGGGGGTGTTATGGGGAGTAAAATAGAATCCAAGAGTGAAGGACTTGGCCCAAAAAGGACTGTTCGCTTTGTTCTAATCCCAGCACTTTGGGAGGCCGAGACGGACGGATCACGAGGTCAGGAGATCGAGACCATCCTGGCTAACACGGTGAAACCCCGTCTCTACTAAAAAAAAAAATACAAAAAACTAGCCGGGCGAGGTGGCGGGCGCCTGTAGTCCCAGCCACTCGGGAGGCTGAGGCAGGAGAATGGCATAAACCCGGGAGGCGGAGCTTGCAGTGAGCTAAGATCCGGCCACTGCACTGGGAGACAGAGCCAGACTCCGTCTCAAACAAAACAAAACAAAACAAACAAACAAACAAACAAACAAAACAAAAGAAAGAAAGAAAGAAATTGTCCGGACGCGGTGGCTCACGCCTGTAAACCTAGCACTTTGGGAGGCTGAGGTGAAAGGATCCTGAGGTCAGGGGTTCGAGACCAGCCTGACCAACAAGGTGAAGCCCCGTCTCTACTGGAAAAAAAAAAAAGAAAGAAAAGAAACTTGTCTCATAACAGAAATTCTGAAAGACACAGGCAGTTCCTAGTCCCAGAAAATCCAGAGACCTGGCCGACTTTCTTTCCTCTGCACTCACCCTACACTCACCTGCTGAGGGAACTTGGGCAAGTCTTAGCCTCTTTGGACACATAGAGTCAATGCATTGGCGTTGCAGGATGCCTTTCCAACCTGCGTGCTTGCAGATTCTTATGAACGTGTCTCCAGAAAGCTCAATAGTCCAGGCTTGTAAAAGCACTGGTTTGTCCTCCTTTCTGGGCCCCTGGAGGAGAGGAAGGTAACGGCCTGGGGTCCATTCTGGGACTCTTTAAAAGCACTCCTGGCTTGAGTCTCAGGAAAGTGAACTCAGCGGGAATTGTAATCTTCGCAAACACCTATACAATAGCACTTCTTGTATGCCAGGAGCTGTTCTCAGTGCTTTACACATATTAACAGAAAACAGTTCTATGAAGTAGGTACTGTTCATCTCCCTATGTTATAGATGAGGAAGCTGACGCACAGAGAGATTCAACAACTTGCCCAGTGTCATTCATCAATGGCAGGGCAGCATTGAGACCTCAGTAAATCTGGCTCCAGAGTTTGTACTCTTAGCCAAACATCTGAGGATGGAGAGAGGAGATGAGGCTGTTTAGAATTCATGGGAAGAGCACGCAGATCCAGTTCTGCTTTTGTTGGTATTCTGAATTCAAGGCAGGAGTCACATGTTTGCAATGGATCAAGGCTTTAGAGCAGGGTAGCTAGGAATGGGTGGACCTGTGTGCCAGTGACCTGGAAAAATACGAGGGAGTGAAGGAGTACCCTCTTTAGGACACAGTTGGAATAGAAACAAAGTTTTCCTTTTCTAGGTTGACAATCACTTTACCTGACACCTGCTCCCAAAACTAATCCTATTGATGAAGGATCTTCTTTCTGAGCAGTAAACCTGTTTAATTAAACTTATGCAAATGAGCTTAATTGCTTCTCAGTGGCTGTTGTCCAGAAGCACCTAGGGATTCCTTCCCTTAGACATTTTCAGCACCTAGATGAACCACAAAGTTGGAAGCCATTCATCTAGACATGTGTTGTGTGCCTGTGGAGTCCTGGGCCCTGCGTTGTAGATTGCAAGGAAGAGCAAGGTGTGACCCCTGCTGTCAACTTACTTTCTTAGGGCAACAGACACTTAAACAACCAAGAATAACAAAGGGAGGTGAGTGCCCTGCTAGCCTCATGAACAGAGTGCCACTAGAACACGGAGTCACCTGTGTTCCAGGAGCTGAGGGGTCTAATAAGTGGTGCTTTAGCACACAGGTTACCCTGATTTGCAGAGGAAATGGAGATGGGAAGGAACTTACTGCTTCCTCCCATGGGGGTGAAAAATAAAACCACTTGATGCTGTCTCCAACGGTGGCTCCAACTTTACTCAGTCTCTCACTCTGGATTTGCCAGGACAGGTGGGGATAGAGATAATCTGTCCCACTGCGGCGCCCAAGAGGGCTCCCGGCTTCCGTGCGCTCTGGTCCCTCATCCCAGACCTAGGACTCCAGAGCCAGACCTCCTGTAGGCACCGCTGGGGACCAGGCCAAACCAAACACCCCAGGAGAACAGCCCGGAGGACATTCTATGCTCAACTGCCTCCTCCCAACTTCCAGGCCCCACTTGTTCTCCCTGGGAGCCCAGGCACCCTAGTCTGGGCATTCGGGCGTTGGCTGTAATGCCTAAAATCTGTCGCAAGGTGGCAACATTGTGGCGAGAAATAGACTTTTTTTAAATCCCGGGTTTTTTTTTTTTTTTTTAAAGCATATTTTCCCTATTAATGTTTCATTTAACTTAATTAGAATCTGGTAAACTAATTAAAGTACGAGCCCCGCAATCAGCAATAATTCGTATAATTATTGATAATTACATCCATACCAATCGTTTGGTTATTAACATTTTGGGGGGAACAAACCACTTCTAAAGGGACGCGAAGCCCAGGAGGGCTTTTGCGACTGAGCTTTCTGGGTCGGATCCGCCTACGACTCCAGTCCGCAGAGATTCCGGCCCAAATGGGGCGTCCCTTCCGGAAGGCCCCAGCCGCCTAGGAGTTATTCCACTTTGGGGGGAATTGGGAAGGAAGGGCGGGAAGGAGCATTTGCCAGGCTCCTCTGTCGGGCCGCAGCCACGGAACTTCCTGCCTGGGTGGTAATGGTTATGCCCATTTTACAGAGAAGAAAAGTGCGGCTTTCAAAGGTGCAATCCGCGGTGGGGAAAGGCGTCGGCAAACTCCCACACCAGCGCTGTCCCGTCCTGTCGCAGTTCCACGGGCCCTGGCGCGCCCTGGGGTCTCCAGTCTCTTCCTCTCTGGACCTCAGTTTCGCCATGGGTCCAGCGGAGAACGGATCTTGTGGGTCCCATGCATATGAAACGTTCCCACTCCCTAGAGGGACCCTGCCCAGGGATGGTATGTCCGGAGGCGTTGCCTCGCGGTGTGCCGGGTGCCCTCAACTTTGTTACCTCCTTCGTGTCCGCTCTGGGCTTAGCCCTTGGAACACCCTGGGACGCCAAGCCTCCGACCCCCAGCGCAAAGGACTCTAGGGATTGGCTTCCCGGCTGTACCGCGCAGCGGGACCCCCAGTCTGCGCAGCTTCAGAGAGGCCCAGAGCGCGCCCCTACTCGCCGGCTCCATCGGAAGCCCACCAAGACAACCCGCCACGAAACTTTCCGGTCCCTGCAGCCCAGGGCTCCCGGTCCTGAGTCGCTGGCCGGTGGCGCGGGGCCTGCCGTCCGCCTTCTACGAGCCGCATGGACGGAGGCCTGCGTGTTATTTCACAGAGGCGGAAACAGAGACCCAGGAAAGATAAAAGAAGGGCGCAACCCGGGACCCCCACTAGCCAGCCGAGGGCGAGAAATGGAAGCCAAGGCTGAATAATTCCCAGTGCCGTGCGCTCTCTCCCACTCCATCCACACTCTCCTCCCCGCAAAAAGAGTGTTCTGCAGTTTGCAACATCGTCTCTAGCCCAAGCGGGAGGTGCGCTGTGGAAACTGAGGCCGCTGGGAGGCCTTGCCAACCGCGACCCGGATGTCGGACGCTCCAGCGGAGGCCTGGCAAGTCCTTAGCCCTTCTCGGACTAAAATGGACCGAACAGAAAATGCGGACCGGGGTCCCTCCTTTCGGGTAGCGGCAGGGCAGACGGGAGGCCGCCTGTGACCGAGCTCTCCAAGTCCCGCCTTCCTTTCCAGGCCTGCCGGGCGTAGACCCCACCTTACGCGCTGCGACCTCCACCCCGCCCCAGCGCCCCCAGGCCAGGCCGGCGGTGCCCGCGCCATTTAAAGGGACAATTCTGGTTGAACCTAGGATTCCCGGCAGGGAGCCCTGTCTGTGAGCGCCCCGGAAGTAACTTCCCCGATGTGGCAGGCGTGGAAATGGGCATGGATGAACCTTCGGCGCCTTCGAGCGCTTGAAGGAAGGGCCGGGGACCTCTGCTCTAAGGACCATGACATAATGCCCCTCCTCCATCCCAGGCCCAAGGGAGGGTCCCAAACGCGGCGAGGGAGTGCTCTGTGGGGGAAAATTGAGTGTGTCTGGAGGGGACAGTGGAGAGGTTGAGTGCTCGCTGCTGCCCACCTGAGCAGGCCAGATTCTGACCCCGGGCGCCCCAGAACCCGCGAGGCTGCTCCCACCCCCACCTGTTGCACAGTGCTCCGCCCGCCCCTCTCCGGCGATGCATTCCCATCTCCGTAGCCCCGTTAGTGACATCTTTTTTTTTATTATAATTATTAAAAACGAAAGTCAAGGGTATAGGGTGGTCTCCCCAAACAGGCTCCAGGTGGTTGCCATCTCGTGAGTCAGTTGTCGCCCTTTTAAAGTGCTGTTACATCAAGAGGTTACAACAAAAAAAATAGGCAAAGCAAAATCCAAAGGGGAATGCAAAACGGGACTGGAAGTGGGTCCAGGAGAAGGAAGCAAAAATAACTTACAGCATAAATAAATTAAAGTGAACCTAATACTGACCAAGAGACTCACAGTACATTTATATCCATTGCACATAGCCACTTTGTCATTAGGAACAGGAGTTTCAGAAGTGGACGGGACGGGGAGTGCGGGGCAGGCGCCAGCGAAGTTGCTACATTGTATTCACAATCTGGTTCAAGGCTATACAAACGGAGGGGGCTCTCTCCCCTTCCGCCCCCGTCTGTCCAGTTAACCCCTTGAGGTCCGATGCCCTAGAGTTCAAACGGGGTAGGAGGATTTGAGGTGCTATTTACACTTGGAAACCAAGCCGGCGCCCTGGACTGGGACGCCCGGGAGGGGGCGGGCAAGGTCGGGGAGCCCGGGAGGAAGGCGGGCGGACGGGCGGCTGTATTTACATGGGTCGGGTCCGAATGGCTTGTTCCTCGCTCAGAGCCGCCGCGGCAGCGGGTATTTACAAGGAGCAGCATGGCTTGAGGGCGCAGGGGTGCGGCCAGGCCGGCCCTAGGGCAACAGCGGCGGCTTGAAGGAGCAGTTGCCAGTGCAGTGGCGGGGCGTCAGCATCTTACAGGAGAAGTGGTGCAGGGCGTCGTGGGCTTCTGGGGAGAGAGTCGCGAGGGTCACTCTGGGCGCCTCTCCTGGCTCACCTCACCGCGCAGTCCACCCTTTCCCCTCCCCGACCTTACCCAACCCTTTGGGGTCAGGGAATCTCAACGCAGCGGATCAGGAGAAGGCAGGAGGGTAGGACAAAGGCTGGTGATTTAGAACCACTGCTCTGGTATAGTAGCCCCATTTTACAGAAGAGGAAACTGAGGCACAGTAAGAGAGGGGTCAGCCTGCTCAAAGCCAGAATTGGTACTAGAAGGCAGATTTTCTGGCGCCCAAAGCCCAAGTGGCTCTCTTTACCCCACCATCGTAGAATAATCTTCCCGTTAAAATCAGTGTCCACTTTTCTCCCTCTCAGATTCTGATCCATGTGGATCGTGGCCTTCCTCACTAGTCCCACTATTCATTCATTCACTCGACAGCACGGCCGGCACCCAGCACCCCTCCTATTTTTGTTTCCTGGCTTCCGCACCTTTCAATTTCTGCTGGATGGCGTAGCGCGCCTTCCGCTCCTGGTCGAGTTCGTTACACAGGGTATCTGGAAGACAAGAGGAGGGGCCAGTCAGGAAACGCAGACCACCCTCCGAAAGGCCGGGGTCACAGCCCGGGCTTCCTCCTCTCCCCAGGGCGCAGCTCCGCGCAGACACAACTCCAGGGACGGGGGAGGGGGTACCGGAGCTCCTAACTGCAGACTGGCGGAGGAAGGAAATGGCCTGGGATGGCGCTTAGAGGCAGACGGATCTAACCAAAATTAAAGCAAACTTAGGCATTACTTCCCAGGTAATTTTACGCCTCGATTTTTAATTTAGAAACCATGGAAATTGCCGCGATAAGAAGTTCAATCACTCCATGTAATGATGCCTGCAAGCCGTTTGCTGGGCTCGCTTGCCATTCTGAGGCTAATCAGAGTATACAAAGGATATTAAATAAAAAAAATAATTGTTAAATTACCTTCAATTTAAATCCAAATGACTGAGCCAACATTGCGGCTCCTGCCAGACGAGAAGCAGTTACGGCCCGTGCACGCGCTCACCTGACTCCCGTCTTACCTCTGACAATTTGCAGCTGTTGTACCATTTCTTCTCGATAAGCCAATTCCCTCTTCATTTGATCCTGAAAATTATCTGTGCAAATTGATTAAGTGAGAGCTGTTACGCACAGCCCCCTCCCCCAGCTCCACTTCCTCACTCCCTGCCCCCCCCCCCCCCCCCCCCCGCTTTCACCCCTACCCCCACTCCCACCCAGCCATTCGCCGACAACCCTGGAAAAGGACAGTTTCTTGGCTCCTGCAGGGCGCCTAGTGCCAGTTGCCTGGCACCTAGCTTTCGGAGTAGGTCGGGGCACCCTGGTGGAAGGCTCGGTGATGAGGTGGGATGAGGCAGGATGGCAGTGGGTACCTTTGAGACTCTGAAATTCCCGTTCCAGCTTCTTGCGGAGCTCCATTTGTTCCAGGAGCAGTTTTTGCAATTCGTCTGGGAAAGTGGAAAAGTGGGAGGTAAAGGGGGAGGTAAAGCAGGGTTATTTGGAGCTCAGGGGACCTAGAAAGCACCCAGGTTCTGCCTTGGCCAACAACCCTGAGAGGAGAGTTGAGGAGGATGACCAGTAGGTGGAGGCCCTCCACTCTCTGGCTTTACCAACTGCATTCAAAGGATTTGGGTGAAGAAACTGGGCTGTGGGATAGGATGCCCAGGAGAATAAATTCAGGATGGTGGAATCTAAGCCCTGGCTCCAGGAACTATGCAGCTGGGCAACTGCTTTAACTTGTTCCTAACTCCCTAATCTAAGAAGCTGGCCCACAGAAACTTGATTTCCCACTTCAAGTGACAGACCCTCCCCCACCCCCACCCTTTCAATACAAATCAGGGAGGCTTTGGTCAGAGCCTTGGACACCTTTCCCAGAAAAATACACATACAACAGTTTGCCTACAATTTCAGGCGGTCTGAAGACTGCCAAATCCATGCTAAGAACCCTCACTATAAAGCACCAATGATTTTGAAGGTAATGGCATTTCCTTTAATTCTGTAACTAGGAAGAATGGAAGACCACCAATGCTTGTCTTCCTCCTGCCACCAATTCCCAAGACCATCTATGGGCTAGTTGAGGGACAGGGAGCTAGGTGTAGAGGCCTCTGTGAGTACCCTCAGAACCAACTCCAGAGGGATAGATGTGGCACCTGCCCTGACCATGAGGTCATGGGTATCTCGGCCCTCCACCAGAAGAGGCTCCTTTGAAATGCAAGAATGAAAGGTAGAAGGGCAAAGTGGGGCTAGAGACTCCCCTACTCTGCACCTTAAACCATAGTCTCCTCCTTACAGGCTGAGCAGTAACCCCCAGGGATCCCCATTCTGCAAACAAGCTCCATCCTCACTCCATTTAGGGTAAGGTGGAGGTGGTTATACGTCAATTCCAGGAGAAAGAAAAACACCTCTGACATTCCTAAAATAAATGCTTCCCTGCAATCTTGCGTTGAAGTCCTGTTTTCCATTGAGTTTAGAGGACCCAGACTGTCCTGTCTGATTGTCCACAGGCATCAAAAGTTCTCATCATCGTTATTCATTTCTCTTTCTTGCAAGGCTATTCAGACAGACCTGGGCCTTGGGAACCAAACTTCCAATAAACTTCTGGGGGTTTGTTTTACTCCCATGCTCCACCCACACATACATACCTCTGTGCCAGGGTAATGTGTCCAGAGGATCATACTTTCCACCCAAAGAAAGGAAAACTGATCCCCCCAAGGCCATGTCTTTCCACACTCACCCCCTACACGGATAACACCCCTCTACAGGAATGACCCATCACCCTCAGGCACAGTGTACATCTTTTTCACAAATTTAGCCTCACCTCTGGCCAGGTTCTCGATATCTTTCTCCACCAGCTGAGTTCCTGTGACATCCAAGGTAAGCCCATCTTCGCCTGGGATACAAGGGCAGATAAGAGGGGTTCTGTCCTGGGAGAGCCCTTGAGAGGGGAGGGGTGGGTTTCTCAGGAACCACATCGAGTCAGGGACCTACCCTAGACCCTCTGCCTTTAGAGGAGACAGTTACAGGCATCCGATACTACCCACCTTCTAAGACATCATGGTAGGGAGTAGAAGAGTGACCCCTGGAGGAGACGGCCCAGGGAAGATGGGCCATCTAAGGGCAGGAAGTGCCCTTTGACCTATTTTATGTGGGTGAGGACGTCCCTCCATTTCCTTTCAGTACATCCTCTGCCCTTACCTGAAAAAACCTCAAATCCATCAAGGAGGCAGAAAACCTGGCCTGCACCCTGCTCGCATTAAATATTTATCTGCTCGCCGAGGAAGAAAACTGGCAGCCACTTACACTTGATTAAAAGCCTTTCTCGCAAGCCTCTGGGAACGTGGGCGACCTGGGTCCCAGCTCCCGGGTGCGGTGGGGAGCGATGGGTTCAAGGGCTGGCTCACCTCTGTCTGTATTTGCAGGACTTGGCTGGGAGATACTCCTTTGGTCTGGATAGGATTTCCTCGTTTCCAAATCATCGGCGGGCGAGTGATTGTCTTCTTTATCTGGCTCTTGAAGGCAATAAACCGAGTTTCAAGGAGAGGCAAAGAAACCGTGACCCCGATACTGCCGGAGCTGCCGCGGTCGGGGCACCCGAGCCCTAATTAAAAGCGTCGTGGCCCCCTCTAGTTCCCGGCTGTGCGCCCAGGCGCGCGCCCCGAGGCTTTGGGCCGGGCACCACCCCCCCTACCCCCGCGCGTGGTCTGCTCATCTCCGGGCTTCACGCCCCCGCCCCAGCCCCTTGGAAAAGAGCAAGATGAGCAGCCGAGCCCACCAGGGACCAGCGACCTACATCGCGCGCAGATAATGGGGCACCGCGAGCGCGCGTGGCCGCCCGGTCTGTCCGCGCGACTCTTGCCGAGAACGCGACCCAGGCTGCGACCTTCGGGGTGGGTAGGGGGACATCGTCCGGGGTTCGGCTGCCTCGACCTGCCCGAATTTCCGCGGCCCCCAACCCCTCCTCTGCGAGGAACCTGGTAAGGCGCGCAAGTGCAGGGCGGCCCCCACCACCCAGCGTTGGGCCTCAGCTACCCTGGCGCTTCTGGGTTACCCAAGCGCGCGGCCATGTGCCCCCATCCTCTGCCCGGATCCGGCCTAGCCAAAGGGGACCCCGCGGCTAAACACACTTGCTGAATAAATGAGAGGCCTTGCAGGGGTGTCGGGCGTGATTTTGTTAAGGGTTTAACTCCGTGTCTGGGTGTACTGCAGCATGTGTGTGCGCATGGTGCAGAGGGCGTGTTGTCATTGTGGTTTTTAAGTAACCAAAGGTTGAAAGTTGTTGGGAGTATTAGCTTAGCTTCCTTGTTTTCATTATTTTTCTTTCCCTCTCCCTCTTTCTCTGCGTCTCTCTCCTTGTCTTTCTTCACAGGCTTTCCTTGACCCCGGCCCTCAGTCTGCGGTCCCCCCATTACAGTGGCCAGCGGCCGCTACAGGCGTTACCGTGGGCCTCGGGGGTGCAGAGGTAGGAGGCCGCGGGCCCCAGCGCCACCGCCGCGCTCTTCACGTGCTCATCTCTCTCGGGCGCGTACACCTGCGGCGGCCGAGAAATGACAGGCGATTAGGGGGGCGCCCTGCGGCGGCCCGAAGACGCCCAGCCCTACCCCGCGGCCAAGAGGGAAAGCCGAGGGGGTGGCAGAGGTTGGTGCGTCCGCAGGACTTGAGCGGGCACAGCGACGCACGCGGCGCACCCTTGCGCCCTTGTGGATTCAGGATAATTATTAGCCCTCGCGGGAAAATTACTCTAAACACAAAGCGGCTTCCAAGCCAAGGGCCGTTCAAAGTGTCCTCCACCCTCTGCACCCGGCTTCTTTTAGGCACTTTCTCTCCCGCCGGTACCCCGTCCCCGGCACAAATGACGCCTTTCGCATCCGGTTAATGATTCGTGTTTTAATGAACCGAATGTACAGGTATGCGCACTCACTTTCAAAATGGCCAACGACTCCAGCCTGGCTGCATCCTGCCCCTTAAGCCCCGGCCCTGCCAACTTGAGAGCCCCCCTCCCGCCCCACACGCGGTCCGGAGACAGCTTCCCAGCAACGAACCCTGTGGTTCCCAAGGCGGGAGTGCGAAGAGACTCGGAAAACTGCGAGTTGGGGTGGTGGGAGATTCCAGGGACCCGGTACTGCTGGGGCCGGACTCAGGGAAAGGCCACACTCTCCTCTCTTCTCCTCTTCCTTGGGGCTCTGATGCCCACCCGGGCGAGCGCTTTTCTCTGGCTCTGAGTTCCTTTCTTACCTCCTCTTTCTTCCTCCACACCCCTTTTCTGTCTCTGTGTCTGGCAGTCTCTGCCGGTCTCTTCCCCATTCCCATCAACAAAAACAAAGCACACACGTTCCCCAGTCCCTCCCCCGCCCCCAGCTTCCCTTCCCTTCGAAACCCTCACTGGAGGGTGCGGGTGGGCCCAGTTTCGCAGCGCGCCAGAGGCTGGGCCTGCGGAGAGTGCCCTGGGCCTGCTGCTCCCACGCCTGCGCGGAACAAAATTCCAGTCCTCCGCCCGGCCCCGCAGCCCCGCCGGGCACAGGGTAAGTGGGAAGGCGCCACCTGCGGGGCGGGCGCGGGGCTCACCTTGGCCGGCGCGGGGCCTCCTAGGGTCCCGCAAGGCTCTCGCAGCTCGTAGCCGCCGCCGCTTGACGGGCTCCTCTCAGGTCTCCGCACCACGTCGTCGGCCGCCAAGTCCCCAAATGAGGGCCGGCCAGCTGGGGGTGGCCCGAGGCGGCGCCGGTGGCGGGGGCTGCCGCCATCAGAAGAGTCCGCGGGACCGTCCGCTCCAGAGGAGGTGGCGGAAGGGGGTCCAGTGGGCTGTTCACCGTCTGGGCCACCCCCTGCGCTGGGTGCGCAGGGCTCGGTCTCGTCCTGTGCGCCCTCGTCGTCGGGGAAGCGGTTGGATTCCACGTCCACCTCGGGTTCGTCCGCGGTGTCCACGTCGGGCGAAGCGGAATGGTAGCTGGAGCTGCCCTCGCTCAGAAAGTCCGGGCTCACGTAGCCGCCGCTCCCAGCGCCGGGTCCCGGCCCGCGAGCAGGCCCCGCGCCGTACGCCTCCCGGGCGCTCCCGTAGAGTTTAGCGATGCTCTCAGTGTCTTTGACCACCGGCCGGAAGGCCGACACATAGGAGCCTTTGCGTGCGGGCGGCGGGGGCGGCGGGGGCAGTGGGGCCAGGGGCGGTGGCAGCACCTCGTCCGCGCCGTCTTCGTCCAGGGGCCCGCGGGACAGAGCGCTCGGGCAGCGCTCCTCCGCGCCGAGGCCGCCCTCTTTGGCTGGCTCGGCACCGTCCAGGGGCTCTGGGCCACCGCTGCCAGCAGCTGCCGCCGCCGCCGCCGCTGCCGCCGCCACGGCTGCTGCCACGGCCTTGGCTTGGCTCTGAGCAGCGGGGTAGGACGGTACCGGGAGGCTACCTGCTGCTGGCCAGAACATGGGAAACGTCGGGTACACAGTGGCGGCGGCGGCCGCTGCAGCCACTGCCGCTGCGTCCTTGGCTGCCCCGGAGGGTTGATGCCCCCAGAACATGGCGCCACCGCCCGGGCCCGCTCCTGCCCCCGGGGGCAAGTGGCTGGCTCCCGGGCCTCCCGCACTCCCGCCAGTCCCCGCGCCGCCGCCGCCGCTCCCAGTGCCAGGACCGCCCTTTGGCTCGCCCGCGCCTAAAACCGGGTCGTCCTTTTTGGGGCATAGGCCGAAGGCCGTAGGGAAGCCGTAAGGATGGGGGAAAAGTGGTGGGGGCAGCTTTTGCAGGAGCCCAAAGCCTTTGCTGGGCACCGGGATCACCGGGTAGCTTCGTACGCCTGCGCCGCCACCAGGCCCTCCTGGGCCCGCCGGGCCACTAGCTCCCGTCGCCAGGCCAAGTCCGCGCTGCGGGTGGGGTGGAGGTGGCCCCGGAGGCCCAGCTGCCTCATCTTCACCACATCGCAGGCTTTTGTGGGGCGGCGGGCCTGGGGTCATCTCGGCACCGCACCCTGGGCCGCCGCCTCCACCGCTGCCAGCACCACCCTTTCCTTGCCCACCCGACCCGCCATTAGCACCGCCTCCGCCGCCTCCTTGTAGGGAGAAGGTCCGCTTGCGCGTGCCGCCATTAAACATGGCCTTGACGTCCTCCCAAGCATGGCTCAGTTCGTCTGTGGCCGACTTATCACTGAGTTTGAGGTGACGACGCCAGGAGTTGAAGTTGGCGGCATCGGGCTGCGTGTACTTGGCGTCGGGTGTGCGGTGCGAGTGGAAGATGAACTTGTTGGGCGAGAAGTACATGCTGCAGTAGCCGCACTTGATGCACTTGGCACGAGAGCTGTTGTAACGCGCAGGGATGAAACTACCACGCGAGCCCCACGCACACTCGTGCACCACATCGAAGGCGAAGTTCTCGGGCAGCTTGGGTGGTTTGTGCTCGCCCAGGAACGACTTGCACAGGCGTTCGGCCTCTCGCTTGGTGATCATGCCGCAGCGGCGCGACGAGATGGGCATGGCCCCGGCCCGACGCAGAATCTCCAGCTGTACCGGCGTGCACTGCACGCACGTGATGCCCAGGGCCACGCGGCGGTTGTGGATCTCATTGTAGCTGTAGTTCTTGAGGAGGGTGTTGGAGATCTGCGCCAGGCACAGGCGCTCCTGGCCGTCGATGACCAGCGACACAATGGGCACCCCGTACAGCGAAGTCTCGCCCACCTGGTTGGGTTTGAGAGCGCTGGAGCCCGAGTACGGCTGCAGCTCCTGCTTGGAGTTGGGCGAGGAACTGCCCTCGCGCCCCGGCCCCAGCTGAGTGGTGAGAGCTTCCATGCCGCCGCTCCTGCGAAATAGAGAAAGCAGAGAGCAGATAAGCCATTTTCAGCTCCGCCGCCGAGTCTCGGGCCCGCCCAGTGGGGCGCGCCGAGTTGGGCGCGCGGGGGATACTTGGCAGTGGGGAGTCCAAACTCATTCACCCCCTGGACAGGCGTCTTTTGTTATTCAGACCCATGTTGGCGCCGTTAACAAAAGCCCCCGGGGTTTGGGGGAGGAGAAGGGGTAATGGAGACCTCAGGAATGCCCGGTCTGCAAGGAACCCAATCCCGTTTTCGGATTGGGAAGGAAGTGAAACCCAGATACGCAGAGTGACTTGCCCAAGGCCACACAGCAAAGCCATTGCCAAATCCAGGCTTTTTCAGCGCCCAAATCTGTGCGCCTTCGGCAACCCTCGCAGCCGGTGCTGCCGGCCCGGGTCCTGAAGCCCGGACTTCGGGGACCGGCCGCCCCTCTGCTCAGTCGCGCATGCACGCGGGCGGGCGGGGGCAGTGAGAGGAGGGATGGGGAGGCGGGGGAGGGGCGGTCACTGCCCATCTCCAGACAGCTGAGGGTGGAGGGGGGTGGGGAGAAGGAGGAGGGACCCGGGTCTGCCCGGGAAGGAGAGAGGCGGAGGCTACCGCTGTTCGCGGTGCTGAACCCGACCCTCTCCGAAGCGCTCCGTGCGCGCCCGGACCTAGCGCGGCCCCCACCGCACCCAGCTCGGTGCCGAGCCGGCTTCCGGGGACAGCATTGCCAGTTTCCACAAACCCGAGCTTCTCCTCTCACGCCTGGCTCCCACGTTCGTTGAGCAGAAAGATTTCGGCTGGATATATAAACCTTTTTCTTTCCAGCTGTTAGTGAGACCAGGATCCTGCAGTTCTCACCACATTTTCTGCATTTTTAGCTGTATTCCAGACCAAAGCTGGTTTCCACCGAGGTCAACGCGTGGGACAGAGAGGTTCTCAAGGAACTTTGTTGGGATCCACTTCTTAGCTTCCAGTCGCCCACTCCCTGAGCTTTCCTCCTTCATATATGCCTTTCCCACTCGGGCCAACTGCAGGCTCCGGGGCTCTGAGCTTCCTCTTTCAGGGGCATCACCTCTCTGAGCATCCTTCATGCCTCGCTGTCCTGGTTCATATGGGCTGGAAGGAATCTCGGCCATCTTCGTAGCCATTGCAAGGCTCCAGGTACAAAAGTTGCTGCTGGTCCTGCACTTTGCTCTCTGGCTGAGGCAGGGAGGGAGCTGTGCAGGCAGACCTCAGCAGCGGGGACACTTGGGGACTGATGTTTGGGGCCCTCTAGGTCGCCTGACCCAGCCACATGTCCTCAGACAAGCCAAGCTCCCATCAGAGCGCCTGCAGCCTGCGGCCAGGGCAGCCCAACCCTGAGGGCTCCTCCCCTGCAGTCGGCCCTGAAGGTAAATCCATTTTCAGAGGGGCAACTCCAGACAGACAGGGGATCCCAGTTCAAAAGCCTTCAGCAAGGAGACTGGAATCTTCTGTTTATCTGTCTCTCTCCCTTCTTCTCTATTTGTCTAGGAGCCCCTCATTTGTCGATCTTATCTGTCCCTGAGCTGTCTCTGCCAGCTCGCTCCTCTTTCTTTCATCTGTTTTGTACCTTCTTCAAGTATCAGGCTATTTATGTATTATCTGTCTGTTTCATCTTTATCTCCGAGGATCGAACTAAAATAAACTGACCCTCATTTCGGGTTGAAGTCCTTTATATCATTTTAGGAGGCAAAAACACTGTCCTGACTCCCGGGCTGACAAGCCCCGCGCCCTCCTGGAGGTGGCTGGAGGGAGCGCAGGGCTGGGAAATGACAGCTTCTCGGTTTCTCGAAATCGGCAACTGTGCCTGGCCCGCATACAGTGAAGAGAGCGCCCGAGCCGAGAGCGTACCCCAGCTGAGGGTTCTGGGTCCCTGCGCGGTTTTCCCTGAATGAGAGGAGGGGGTTCGGGCCCGGAGTCAGAAGAAGGGGGTCCCTAGGAAAGGAACAGAATTTCGGGGGCCAAAGCGGAAAGCACAGGCGAAGGGCCATATGCAGCGACAAGGAGCAGCAGCCAGAGCAGCTTGGGGAGCACTCGTCGGCTCCCGGAGCTTGAGGGACGAGCTTGGGGAGGGCAGCGAAGCGAGAGACTGGCAATGGTGGGAGCGAGGCGGTGGTGTCGTTGGGTATAATCATAAAAATAACAGCCACAGGAGCCCAAATCAGAACTAAACGAAAAAAAAGCTGCAGGGGCAGAGCACGGGGGCGACGGGCTATCGGACGTGGGTACTCACAGTGCGGCGGCGGCTGGAGCCGGGCGAGCGGTGCGCGGAGGTGCGCGGCGGGAGGAGCGGCAGGCGGGAGTCCGGGATCCACCGGGCTCTCCGGGTGACGGCGCGGCCCCTCCCCGCGCGCGCGCACAGCCGCGCTCCCTGGTTCTCCGCGCTCTCACCCGCGGCCCCTCCCGCTCTCAGCGGGCGCGGGGCGCCGGGGCCCCGGGCTCGGAGATGCGGACCCTGAGCTGTTGACCCCGAGACCGGGGACTGGCCGGAATTAGAGGCCGAAGCCTGGAGCGCATGGCGCGGCGGCGGGGACAGCGCGGTCACAGCCCGAGTGGCGGGGCAGGCGCGCCTGACAGCTGCGAGCCGAGGCGCCACACCCACCGCCCGCGCAGTCGCTAGCGACCTCCCCGGGTCCGCCCGCCCGCGGGCCACGCGCGGCGCCCGCCGCCTCCCCGCAGCCCCAGGGCCTGCACTCCCCAGGTAAGCGGCCGCACACCTGCGTCCAGCTCCCTGCACCTGCGTCCCGCTCTAGCTGAAGAGGCCAAGAAGGAGGAAAGGCCCCGGGGCCAAAAAGTTTGTCCTCAAGAATGAAGTGGGGAAGGCCCAGTGCTCCTGGCCAACGAGCCAGTTTTGGTCTGGGCCAGGACCGGGTGATGGGGCTAACTGGGACTCAAGAGGAGCGCGCGCAGGGAGGAGTACTTCACTTTCGGGCTGCAGGCAAGGGCGGGGTGGTGGAGCCTACAGTGGCCCTGGGGAACCAGTAGGGTCACCAGAGTCCGGGACAGGGACCTGGGTGCCAGGCAGCGAGGATGACAGTCGGGAAGGAGCAGATCTGCCTCCCCCATGCTCCTGACTTCGGTGGGAGGTATCAGGAGAGCTCTAACCTGAGGAGGGGCGTTCTCCTGTTTCCGTCCCTGGGCAGGCGACTTGGGAACTAGGTTTGGGGAGTCCTTGGCTTTGAATGCCTCCCCTCGTCGTCACCAGCAGGCCCAGGGCAGGAGCCAAATCATCGCTGGGAGTGATCTGAGGTCAACTACTCTCTCAGCGCTGCTAACCCAGTTTTCCCATGGGGTAGGTCCAGTTCCCTGATGCTACGGACGCCCCTGGGTACCTCCTCTCTCTTCTCAAAGCTCCGTTTCTCTCCACCCCTCTCCTGTCTCTCTCGATCGGTCTGTCCGTCTTCATCATTCTTTCCCCTAATGCCCCATTGGGTTCCCTTCTCTTCCTCTCTCAATCGGTCTGTCCGTCTTCACCATTCTTTCCCCTAATGCCCCATTGGGTCCCCTTCTCTTCCTCTCTCAATCTGTCTCTACTTCTTCGTTTGAGTTACCAGTCGCACCCCGCCCCTCTTTGCCCGCACCCGGGCGCCCCGTCGGCCGCTTCCACCACCCCCTTCCTGCCCCCCTGGCATTAAGTGTCCTTAATGGACACGTTAATTAAACTGTAATTAATCATACTGTCCGGCCCAAGTTTGAACAATTACCCTAATCAAACAGAAGTTAATAATGGCAGGGATGGCCTGGGGCTCGGCAGGCCGCCTGGGCAGGGGGCGCAGCGGCCACGGCGACTACTGGCAGTGGCAGTAGCGACAAACGCAGCCTGTCCTTGGAACCCGGGAGGCGCCATAAATCTTTCGCGGGTAGCGGCGCGGGGTCGCCCTCGCCCCCTTCGCCTCGTTTTTCCCTCGGGCTACCGGGTATAGGCCCCCTTCTCTCCTGCGTCCCAACTCCTCTGGGGCATGTCTCTCCTTTTCCTCCACTTCTCCCCTCTCTTCTTTTCCCTCTTGACCCTCAGAGACCCCGATCGCTGAGGCCTGGAGCAGGGACTGAGGAGGGGTCAGGCCCAGCCCACGGACTCCTTTGCCTTCTTCCCGGCTACGCTGGCTGACGTAGGGTACTGTTCTCCTAGGCCCCGAAAACCTCTCCCAAATTTGTGGGCTCTGTCTCCTCTGAGGATCTCTTTTAGATCGGGTTCTTGCCCTCTTCCCCCTCCTCAGTTCCAGTCTTTCTGTCTCTCATCTCCCTGCCTTTCCCTTTTCTCCCAGAGCAGTCCTGGAACCTGCTCAGCCCCTTTCTTTCTGCCTCTGGCCCCTCCATTCGGGCGTCTTTCCCAGGCTGTGCCTCTGTCCCGCTCCAACTCCCCGCTGTCTTTCCTCCCACACCTTCCCTAGGGAGAACATAGGAACCTATTTTCCGTCCCAGTCCGTGAGCTGCCCCCAAGTCCCCGCCAGCTCATTCTCCCTCCCTCAGCCCAGGCTCCCCTACCCCATAATTACAATCCCGTTCGGTAATTATTCTTAGCCTCCTAATGATTTTTTAAAAGGCATCTCAGAATTCGGCGTGGTCGCGACAAGGATCCTGGAGCCAGGACGCCCCCAGGGTGTTGGGGGGTGGGAGTGAACAGAGGATGGGCTGGGTCCCCCTGAGCAGGGCCTGCCTGTCCTGCCTCTGTTGTACAGCGAGGGCCAAAGACGCCTCCGTTTCCAACAGCCCGGCCGCGGGGGCCCCCGGGACCTCTTAGACAAAGGGTACCGCCCCGCACCTGGGGGTGTGCAGCGTCGACTCTGCGTCCCCGTTCAGCACCGAGCTACGGACAGCTCCCCACGCTCTGGCCAATGCCAGGAGACCCACCCAGCTCCTGTCCCTGATCTGAGTTGGAGAAAGACTGAAGGCTCGTGGACAGAGGCTGGGGAAGCCCCGCTGCTCAGGGCTGGGCACCGGGGAGCAGGTCGTGGGGGTAGGAGCTGGGGCTCTACGATGGGCCGGCGTCCGGCGGGTTAATATCACCGCGGACAGCACTTCACTGATTGAAGAGCCGGTTCTTACAGGGGCCCTGGGAATAGATAGGAACCACTTATTCCCATTTTACAGGAGGAAACTGAGGATCCGGCAGTAGAAGCCAACCCCTGACCTTCTCCTCAACCAAGGCCCTCAGCCCATAAGGGACGCAGGCTGATCTCTAGACTCAAAAAGTGGTGCCTGGCATGCTGCAGAAAGGGCCTAGCTTGAAGGAGGGACGGTAAGGAGGGCGCAGCGCTGCGTTTCAATATCGCCCTCACTACACGATGCAGAGAAGGAAGGCCTGGCACAGCCAGGGCACTTGCTCAGGTTCAGGCAGGCAGTGAGTGGCAGAGCTGGGACGGCAACCCAGGCTCCGACGGGATGGGCGGGACCCCTCTTCCTCAGTGGGCTCTGGGTCCTGCGGCCTTGTCCAGAGCCCGCAGCCGTCGCTGCCCTTGGCCTTCCTGACCCCCATTATTGAAGATTCTCTCTCTTTTATCCGCTGCCGGGTGGCACCAGGGGTCGAAGAGCCAGACTCTGGATGCGAGCTGTGCCTTGCGCACTTCTCCTCCCACTGGCGGGGCCCGCGCTGCCTCCGTGTCCCGGGTGTGGCGTCCATTTGGGCTCCGGCTGGGGCTGGGGCTGGGCGGATGGGCTTCCTCTGCAAGCACATATCTTTTACTAGTTGAATTAACGGCAGTTTTCGTCAGTTAATTAGGTTTAATTTACATAATTAGTACAGTATAAAGAGGATTGGGGATAATCACGGGGTACGTAGCGCTTACTGTGTAAACACGTATTCTGAATTAAAAATCAGATGTAATTAAGGCGCGCA